AAAAAAAAAAAAAAAAAGTAATATACATGTTTATGAATAAGATTATTCAATACTGATAAGATGTCAATTCTCCCCAAGTTTATGTATAAGTTCCATGAGATCCCAATCAAAATCCTAGCAGACTCTTTTTTTATAAATTGGTAGGCTGATCCTAAACTTTATATGGAAATGAAAGGGCTTAAAATAGCCAAAGGAATCTGAAAATCTTCTAAAAGTAAATGTAAGAGAAAATTTTTGCAAACTTGAGTGAGGGAACTATTTCTTAGGGCACAAAAACATGATCCATTTAAAAAGGGCTAACAAATAGAATTTCATTAAAGTTCAAAATGCCTGCTCTGTGAAATAAACTGTTATAAAAATGAAAAAAAAAGCCAGAGCAAAAAATCACAAAACACAAACCTTATAAAAATCTTGTATCCAGAATATATAAAGAACTTTCCCAACTCAATATTAAAAAATATTTGAACAGACAGGTTACCAAAGAAGATATGTAAGTACATGACAAGAATCTCAACATCATTACTTTTGAGGGAAATACAAATTAAAATACAATAATGTATTTTACTCCTATATAATTTTTAGAAGAACTTAATATTTTAATGGCAATGTCAAATGCTCACCAGCATGCTGAGCAAACAGAACTCTCCTATATTGCTGGTGGGAAGGCAAAATGGTAGAACCATTTGGAAATCAGTTTAGCTATTTCTTATTAAGTTAAACATACGCTTAACACATGATATAGGAATCCCACGTTTATGTATGTACTCAGGTGATATGAAAACATTTACTCGCTCAACTGTATATTAATATTACAGTTGCTTTATTCATATTTGTCCAAAACTGGAAACAACCCACATTTTCACCAATTGGTGAATGAATACACAAATTGACAGTATGTTCATCCAATAGAACAGCCATACTTTTAAATATGATCATACATACCCAGGCACAGTGGCTCTCACCTGTAATCCCAGCACTTTGGGAGGGCAAGGCAGACAGATCACTTGAGGTCAGGAGTTTGAGACCAGCCTGGCCAACATGGTGAAATCCCATCTCTACCAAAAAAA